GACTAATATGGCAGCTTTCCTTTGGTTTAGGTAGGTGTCAATGTTCCAATCCCAGTACCTCTGCCCATGTTCTCTTTCACCGGCTCTCGTGCTTCTTTCAGAGGGGACACCAATTTCTACGGCAAACAGGTAAGTTACTGATTGAGAGAACTCTAGTGGGTTGAATTGTGATAAATCATATTATAAATGGAAATGGGGAGATGGTCATCAGACCTCATTAGTGAGGAGACTTTGGAAACGTTTCAACCAGGAAACTGAAAACCAGCAGTGATCACAGCCACCGTAATGCATGTTACAGTAATAGATTGTTCTTTTTCTTTTCCCTGTACTATAAAAATGCAAGTTGTCTTTTAGGAGATTGGAGAAGAGAGCAAGAACTAGCAAGCTTTCTCACAGCACCAGAATCTTTGGGGAACTGGTAAAAAGAACAGGCTGACAAGAATTGTTCTCACAGAGGAAAACTCAGCCCTGTGTAGATAAAGCAAAAACTGATACACTACTAGTGTGGACCTGAAGAATTCGTAAGGCCAAACATCTGATCTGTGGGTCTCTCCTTTCTTCCAGGGAGTGCAGTTCTATACACAGCTGAAAACTATCATTTCTCAATGGAAAGAGGAAGATGCCACCATTGCCAAGCCTGCTGTCGTTATGCCAACTATGGGAAACTAAATCAGCCTTTGCAGATGCTGTTCCTGGTGCCCTTCTCCTATGCTGCAATTTCCAGCTTTGTCCTGACTGTCATCATTTACTTGGGAATCAGTAGAAAGCTCTTTTCTCAAGGATCTCTCTTTCTGTGCAGATTAGGCAGGTTCATGTAACTTATGGTCTGGGTTTTCTGTTGCTGTCAGTGGTTTTTTGGCTAGCTGAACTAATTTTTTTTCCTGCAACCTATCACAGACTAAACAACCTTATCTAACTGAAAGAGCAGCCAGCGAGATTGGTCTTAGTTTGTGTTTCTTTCCAGACACTGTGAACTTGAACATTATTCTGGTTTTCACTTCAATATCTTTAGCCTTAGTGACTCACTCCTGGCTACATCTTGTAGCAGTTTTACTTACCTCTTTATCTTACATGTTAAGATTCTGAGTTCACCTTACTCAAAGATGAGTACTCATTTTGAGTGACTTAACTGGGACACTTTGAGTGTCTCATAGAAATGACTTTACATATATGAAGACAGCAAGTCATCAGTTATCTGTTGAGCAGTTTACAAAACACTTGGGAAACAGCTTTGTAAGGATTTTTCAGGAAAGCATATTTGATTGCATGTCGGAAGATGAAAGAAATTTCTGTATGGTACAGTGACCTTCACCGTGCCTCTGACAGCTCGAAAACTTCTGTTCCTGTCGTGTCTGTGGCCTGTGTGCTCCAGCTTGCTGGCAATTCTATTATAACTGAAAGTTGTTTGGTGCCTTTTTACTGTGCTAACAGATATAAGCCTACACATCCTGTAACATCATGAAACTGTGGAAGCAGAAACATAACCATGTATATGTATCTTTGTGTCACAGCATCATGTGGGTCAGGGTGGAATGGAAAGTAAGTAAACAGGTCAGTAGGAAAAACCACTTTTAATTGCAAAGCAGCCAGGCCTGTTCTGATGGTTTCCTTTCCTCACTGTAGCTGTATTTCTTTTGTTTATTGATTGACTCCTTGTCACATTTGCTCAAACACAGTCATGTTCTCTTGGGACTGCAGGTTCTCCTTACCAGAGAAGAGTAAGGTTTGGTATATACACCCTGTTTTTAAGAATCTGTGCATTTGGAGCTGGAGAACCTATATTTTTATTCCTGGTTCCTGAAAGATGATGCAGCCATGAGGGATCTGCAAGGAACTCATTCAAGCACCCATGGAAAAAAGTATTATTCTAATGATTGCAACTGTTACTTGTTCTAACTAAACAATCTGAACGTGAACAATTTGTATCCTTCCTTCTGATAAAGATGCCTTGTAATTGGCGGTTCTGTATTAGTGCAATTGCTGTACATTCTCTAATGTTTGTATCTTGTTTTTTTCCTGTGCTATACACTAGAGGGAAACTCTCACCTTGCAATTTGATTACAAATTAAAAATATGCTAATATATTTCTACAGAATATGATTGTTCCTTGGTAAGACCTTATAGAGGTGTGCTGTTGGTTTTATTCCCCTATTTGCAGAGGATGATCTGCAACTGCTGTAACCCAGGTATACATCTTCCTTTTACAGTATTTCAAGGACCTCTTTACCAATTTCCTCACACAGCATTTCAAGGAATGCTTTGTTTGTTTCCACATACACATAATTTGATCGTAGAAATTCTTAAGCTTCATGTTAATGGCTGTATTACAAACTGAAAATACATCTTCATGAAGTTATAGCAACTCTTTTATATACAGAGTTCTAACCACTAGTCCAAATCCTAGTGCTTTGTACAGGGTCTTGCAAGCTCCTGGCTTGAGAAAGAATAAGATCTGTAAGAAGGAGGAAAATAAGTATATTTCAGATGGATTTTCAAACACATAGTCAAAGCAGCAGTGCAGCAGTGTCTTAGTTTAACAAGATTACAACTTAAAAATTAAGATACTTCAGATGGAAGTGTGGAAAAGAAACAGCTTTTTATTAACAAAATCTGAATAAACAACAAATAGTGCAATCAAAAACTTTCAGAAGGAACAAAACAAAGTCCCAGTTCCCCAAGTGGGGGGGAGAGAAACCCGTGGCAACCCGGGGAGGGGGAGAGAAATGCAGGACTGTAGCTGCTCGCAGCCAGCTGCGCTCGGAGTCAGAAATGAAGGAGTCCTTTTTCCCACGGGCAGTCTTGAACAGCAGAATACCTCGCTCTGAGATGGGTCGGTCTTTCTCTCTCGGTCGTTCTCCGCGAGGTGTCCCGTGGGGAAAGAAAACTTCCTCTCAGGAAAAGAGAACGAGGCGGTCAAAAACCGGACTCCTGCTCTGTCCGGTCTCGGACCAAACGCCTAAAGCCCCCGAACAAGGGACTCCCCGGCTGCCCCTGCGGCCACCGGGCTTTCCCGCGAGAGCTCCCCCTCTCCCCGCTCCTGCGCTGCCCGGCACCTGCGCCTCCGCTCTGCCCCCACCCCCTCCCCGACTCCCCCCATCACAGAAGAAATGGGGGGGGGGGGGGAAGAAAAGTCCAACATCTCTTTTCGAACCTATGACAAGCAGACAGGGGATCTAGAATTCACAGCCTTCCTTGGAAGCTAACTTCCGAAGTGAAAAGTGCATACGAGTTGCTTTTTGCTGACTGTTGTTCCTTATTTGGTCTATGGTGTTAACATCTGAATATGTGGAAGGATCACTGCAGAAAATGATGAATCTGATAATGTGGCCTGATGTGTAATGAATATTGGGTTGGGAGAAGTATTTTCTATGTTGCAAAGATAAAATAGTCTAGGTAAATCACATTAAGACACTGTCATTCATCCATGAACCTGGGAAAGGAATACTAATTAACACCTTCTAATATTGTCTACAGTCATTAACTTTCAAAACACCTTAATTTTCTTCCTATGACTTTTCTGTTGTCCTATTAAAAGCCATTATATCTGTCCTTTAGAAATTCTAAAATCCATATTCTCCTGTAACAAAAGCAGTCTATTATCAAGGTTACCTGCTCCCTGAAGAATTGCAGGACTATCCCTGCACTTTCTCCAGATATCTTCTAAATACCTGGATGATATTTTCATTTGTGCGCAACCATGTTTTTTAATTATCTGCATTTTAAACAGCACTTTTTAAGCCGATAGTTTAAAATAATTGTATTAGAAATACAAATCTTGTATGTTCCTTCTTTAATTAATCAACTGCCTTCTTAGAATAAGCTGCAGATACTGACTGATCATGATGTACCTGCCTCATTTCACTGCTGTTACTGCTTTCCACCCATCTGTTTATTCTCCTTTTTTACTTCAACATTTGCTATAAAAATAAGCTAAAAAATGTATCTTCTACATTATGCAAAAGTATAAGCTAGATATAAAGTATCTCATAATAAATTTCATTAACTATTAAAATACAATTTTATAGTCAACCCTTTGAAACCTATTAAAAATTGTTTCTTGTCTAGAAGGCACTGCAGTCAGGATTTTCAAAGCTATTTAATACTCTTAAGTCCAAAATTTTTGTTAAAATAGTTTAACCACTTTTGAGAATTGGGCCCGGTTCTTTCTATTTCTGAGGGCTTTTCTTCCCGTCTGTGCCAAAAAAAGGGCTCCAATTCACTTCCATTTCAGGAAGTGACAGCCTGCTTCTCCAAAGGAGGTGTCTCACATCTTTTCATATAAATGCCTTCAGAACTCCTGCTTATGAACTTTGTCTGGTAATTTGATGTCTGAATATTACATTTTGGCTTGTGTGCTTGATTGCCTCACATCTGACCAGGTGGCATGCCAGAACCCTGCCCTACTTATTCCTCCAGAGTAAGTTGACATTGGTTGCCCTGGAGTGTTATAATTAGCAACATAGTTGTATCTGAGTTGCTATCTGAAAATCAGACATATATGAAGCTTCATCCTGGTCCATTCTCTCTAAGTGATTCTATACTGAATGCATCATCAGCTGCATAGATTTTGCCTTTTAATGATCTCCTGATTCACGTTACAGAGCATCTATGACGAACCTTTCCACTCAGTCCCCTCATTTAAGATATTCTAGGCTAGTTTCTTCACTCAATCTAATTTCTAGTAGTTGCTGCAGTTTTTTGATCTCCACCGTGCTTGGCTGGTGCTGTTTTTCGAGTCTCTCTCACAGATTCTCTGGTCCTGTGCCGTATGGCCATTTCTAGCTTTTCCACTTTACACTGCAGATGTCTGGTCTAGGCTTCTTTTTCATTGCTTTCTGAGTAGAATCTGGCTCCGTTTTCTCTAAAACTTCCTCCAAGTAGCCAAACCCAGCGGATTACCCGTCAGCTTTCTCTTTTTTTCGAGCTGAACAAGCGCTTCAGCCTCTTCGAGTACATCACGTGCTGAAGCCCCTGCCCTCAATTCGCTCTCCCTTGTACCGATGGGGGACAAACCGGGACGCCGTGTTCCAGCGGCAGGGAGTCGGCGGGCAGGCAGGGAAGGCACGAGGACAGCGGCTCGTCCCGGCAGCCTGTCGCACCGCCGGGAGGCGCTGCTGCCTCACGGCCCCGGCGGGACGGGCGCTGCCCGCGGGGAGCTCGCGCCGTCCCGCCCTCATCTGCCGGCGGCGGAAGTACCGGGACTCGCCGCCAGGAGCCGCGCCGCCGATGGCCGCGCGCCAGGGAGCTGGATCCGGAGTCCGGTGGGGAGTGGCGTCCGTTCCCGTGGGGACCGGCGCGCTCCCGCCACGCGCAACTCCCGCGACGGGCGGCGCGTGACGCGGGCGCGCTGTGACGAGTCGCGCGGGGCCGGCGGGACGATGATGCGGCGCCGCGAGCGGCCGGTGAGCGCGCGCAGCCGGCGGGGGCGGGGGGAGGGGTGCGGCGGCGTCCGCGCGCTGCCATGGACACCGCGCGCTGGGGCCAACGGCGGCGGGATCGGGAGCGTGCGGAGTGGCCGCCGTCCTGCCGCTCCCGGGCTGGGGGAGCTCCGGCGAGCCGTGCCCGCCCCGGGAGGGCGCTCCGCTGCCCCCGAGGTCGGTCGGGCGGCGGGAGACACGCGAGAGCCGAGCCGGCGGCATCTCCGTTACTCCCAGGAGCGGGCGGGAGGACGCCCCGTCCCGGGCGAGTGACAGCGTGGGGCGGCCGGTGAGGAGGAAAGAAGCGTTTCTGCGAGTGTCCTGCCGAGCGTCACCGGTGCCGCTCCAGGAAGAGCCGCCGGGTCCCGGTGCGCGCTCCCCGCCGCCGGCGGGGTGCAGGGAGAGCCGCGGAGACTTTTGTCCGGGGAGAGGAAAGGAAGGTAGGGAAGGTTTTTAGGCGCACTCAGGGCAAGGGTTTAGGTCGTAGCGGTCGGAGATGAAGCAGGGCAGAACGCCATGGCGCTGGGATGCACAGCAGAGGCAGAACCAATGGCCCCAACAGCGGCGGGGTCGAGCGGGGCCCTGCCGTGCCCGTCCCCAGGGCGTTCCTGGGGAGCGCTTCCCGGCGCGCAGCTGGCAGCGACCTGCTGGAGTTACCGCCGGGGCGCTCCCAGGCTGGCAGGGAAGCAAAAGCCCTCAGCGCCCAAACCTCCTTGCACCCAGGGTCTGTTTTCCAGGGGTGCCAGTTGTTGCAGTAAAAGGTGCCGTTACAGCCCCAGCAGCTGTGTGGGTCCGCGGTTCCGAAGGGAAGATAACGCTGCAAGATAACGCAGCGGTCACCTGGAAAAGCTGCCTTGGTCTAATTAAATAGGAAAATTGAAAACCCACTTGGCCAGAAATAAGAATTAATAAGTAATGTGTATTTGGGGCCTCCGTACAGGGGGGGAAAGACTAAAACTGCTGATAACGCATGTTTGTGAGTTAGTTCTTTTTTTTTTCCCCCTAGAGTTTGAAGCTCTAGATCCAGAATTGTACCTAAAACAAATGTGTGCAAAGAATACTGTGCCATCGTCTTTATGGAAATACTGGGAAATTCTGCCAATTAATTTAGTTATTATTTCCATTGTGACTTATAAACAGTGTACTTTTAGGAAGTTTAAATTTTTGTCAGAACAATGCAAGAAACTTTTTTTTTAATAGATAAAAGTAAGTCTAGGAAAATGCAATAACTATTTGTTTCTGGAAAAAATGAAATATTAAAAAGTATTTGTTTATTCATTAGTTTTAAGTGTAAAAGCTCTCAGCTGGGAAATAGATCTTGTTACCGTAAGAGTTGCTCATCTGGAAAATAGATTTAGCACAGATGACTTTCCATTCTGAATGATTTCTGGTGTGCTTCAGCAAGGAAGAACAATAGGAGTTTAATTATGTAATTTGTCCAGTTTGTTGCCTAAAATATTTGCCTATTTATGTAGCATTAATATTTTAATTATTTTTTAATATTTTGTTTATATCCAAATATTTCCCAATAATATGTTAAGAAACAGAAGGGAAGTTCTCATGTATCTCAGATACACTGCTTTTCCCTCACCTCAGATCAGATTCCTTTTCCCAGGGAGATGTTTCTGTTGCTGTGGTTTGTGCTTTGCATGTTATTTTGTCATAAATATCCAAGATGTGAATGAGACTTCCTTGTTTTGAAAATTACCAGTGTTTCTGTGTATAGTGAACTCTAAGTAAGGTTGTGTTTTGCTGTCTTAAGGTTAATTATTCTTTTTCTTATTATTATTATTGTTATCAGTAACAAGAGCAAAACTCTTTTAAAGTTTTACAAAAGTTTATTTAAGGCAGATGGGCAAACAGCGCTGGGCGGATGGGGTTTTGCTTCCCCATATATTCCGCGAAATTCAATAAGTTTCAGTTTTTCTTTTTATAGCCCCAAATCCCCTCCCAGATTTCTAGTTACTAGTTCATTCTGCGCATGTTCTGTCTTGGTTACCAGGGAATCTCTTCCCTGTTTCTTGTCTTCCTTATCAGTCTCTCCTGGCGTCTTCTTTCTTGACAAGTCTGGCCGCCTCCTTCCTCTTATCAGATTGTGTCGGCTAAGGGTGTTTGGATTGTTAGAGCCCCTTTGCTTTATGACTTCCTTGACAGATCTGCTGCAGTTGCTGGGAAGAATATTTTTTCCTACACAGATAGCTAACATCTAGAGGTTATATAGTAGAATATAATTTTTCATGATAACATAATATCACAGTTCACAATTACAGTATTACAAGTATAATTTGATAAGCAAATTATCTCTTTTTGTCTTTATTGACTATCACAATTATTGTTTTTACTTTTGTTGTTTAAGGAGAGTTTGGTAGGGGTTTTTGTTTGGTGGTGGTTTGTTGTTTTTTTTTCCTACTCATGCTTTCAGTCTTGGCAGTCTCTTTGCAGTATCCCAGCCTTTTTGGATCATACAGTTTGCATAGCTCCCAAATTTTTATACTGGATGTCTATCATATATATTTCATTTAGTGTCTAAAATCTACCATATACAGATGATATTTACACATGTTTCTCTGTGTTTGGAAATGCGTGTCCTATCCGGTGTTGCTGGGCCCAGGCCAGGGCTGTTGAGTTCAACTATAGCATCTGTGTAAATGTTTTACTAACTTGTTGAACTTGGTTAATTTTCAACTTCTTGAAATTCATCCTGTGTAATTATATGAACATGTTTCACTCCTTGTATTGAGCAATGATAAAATCAAATTTGAATAAAGCAATTCAACTGATATTTTATGTGTCTCCATGACCTTATAATTGTGAAGGTGAAGAAGTGCAAGCGCGATGTCTCTTGTCGTGGTGCCCCGAAGTGGTTTTCATTAGGAATCTCTGGAGTGGAATAGCCGTTGCTTCCATCCTGCTTCAGGTGTGTGCCTAATGTTTTCATGATCAATGCTGATTATTACTGCTCATTTTGAAAGACAGTAACTGAGCCTACTGATGGGGATCTGTATGTTTTACCTTGCTGTACTGCTTGATTGCATTAATGAACTTGTGCTCACATTACCATTACCCTGTTTTCTCCTTTATCTTTGTTGTTCATTTTCTCCATTCCATTTTATTCTGATAGCAGCTAGGACTTCAAATTGTTTGAGAGGAACTGGTTTGAAAATATTTTTCCCTCTCAGTAGTTAATGTCTTGTCTATGTTAACCCTAAACTTCTTCTTCCATTCTTTCTTGTGACTGTCTATTTCCAAATTCCTTTTTCATTGCCACTTCTGTTTTGCTAGATGTTTCTCTCTTGTTGCTAATTTCTAACTCGCCTCATCTATTTTCATGCTTCTTTTGGACATTGTTTTGCTAGTGCACTTAGTTAAATGGACTTCACCGCTCATTGAAGAGGCTCAGAGTGCTTCTTTCATTTTTAATGAGGGAGAAGAAAAATAAAATCCCAATGTGGTTTGTTGTGGGGTTGTTGGTTTGGGGGCTTTTTTGTCCTTGGAAGTATAAAGGTGGAAAGGAAAAAAGGGAAAAAGTGGAAAACTGAAAGTGTGAAATGGTCGTGCATGTCTGAGAAGGGATAGAGAAGGGAAGCTTAGTGAGAGAGTGTTTCATAGATTTGGCAAGAAAACTATGAGTTAATGATGGCAGTTGCTCAGATATTTTCGGATCATCGGAGATTCTGAGGCTTATGTAAGTGTCACGTGTGCTGCTTGTAATAGGACTCTGGAGTTTGTTCTTAGGGCAGGTGCTTGGGTTGTATTTGTGATAGTTCAGTAAGCAAAATCCTTACATTGCATGAGAATAACCACCCCTCTTCCAACCTGCTGGAATGTGGCACTCACTAATGAAGCTTATGTTCTGTTAAAACAGTACAGCTACTTAGATTTTCAGTAACCCTCCTTGCTGTGATGAAGCAAATGTGGATAGTGCCAGCTGCACCTTAGTACAAATCCATAGCTATGAAACTACCAAACTTCTTAGCACTTCTCATGAACTCTCTTCGGGATAGTACTTTTAATTTGTCACAAAAGTAAGTTTTTACTCCTTTCTGCATAAAATGTGAGTGCTGTAGAAATTACTACAGTTGGAGTTGATCTGTCAAAGAGACTGGCCAGGGCTGTTGTGTGTTTGTGGGGTTGTGGTCAATTCTTCCTCTTCTGAGTGTGCTTCTGAGGCAGAGAGGATCAAGAGCTTGTGCTTCTGCCCACATCTCTCTGCATTTACTTGGAACAGGAGGATAAAAATAAGGGTCACAGATGACAGGTGAGGTTACTCATCTGCAGGGGGCTCTGCATTTTGTTGGCCATAGAGATAGCTGATCACTGGAGTGAGTTAGAGAGACACCCAAGGAGTGACCCAATGTGACTTTTTTGGCTGAGAATGGGTAAAAGTTAATCTCACTTTGCTGTAACTGGGGACAAAGGTGAAGAATGGAAATAATAAAAGTCTTACATAGGCTTAATCTGTGATAAAAAGTAGTGGAGTATAAGCAAGCTCTTTGGGTGTGGGAGAAAGGTGTGTGGAAAGAGAGGCTATGGCAGGCTCACATAGAAAGCAAAGGAGAAAGGTCAGGGTTTAGGAATGAATAACTAGGACAGAGACAGCAAATAAAGATTTTAAGAGAATGAACATGGTGGGGCTGAGCAGATTGCTTAAAGACAAGAGTAAGAGCAAGAGGTGGACAAAGGTCTTGGGCAGAGCAGATGAACAGCCATATAAAGTAGAATATTCTATGCTGTGGGTGGATGGATGTGTTACCAAGTGTGTGGAAAGTGATGAGCTGTTTGCACCCTCTGTATGACGAGTGCTCTGTGTAGGTTGGTGCAGGCAATACTGCATATGGTGGGACATCTGGCCACATGCTCTTTTCTGCTATTAAAATAACAAAGATACCTATATATTTTCTTTCTTTTTACCTGGGTATCCTATAATTTCTGTGCCCATGTCTTTCTTGTATTAGCATTTCTTAGAAAAAATACATGCAAAGAGGTATATGTTAAGGGGAGATGTAATTTTATCTTGATATCCAATACTGTCACACAGCTTTGGGGTTTGGCTTATTGAAACTGTTGTTAGAAGCTGTATAAGCAACCTGAGTGTTTGGGGCAACTGCTCCAGGTATAAGAGTATAGGAGGGTTTTGCTGGTTTTTTTTTGGTTTGTTTTTTTTTTTTGGTTTTTTTTAGTTTTGAAAATAAAAAACAGAACAAAGAAAGAAAAATATAAAAACCACTGAGAGGCACAGCCCAGGTGCATTTTACGGTTCAGTCCCTCTTGCGAAGCACAGGCTTTTCTTGGAGATAGGGATGCTGCTGGAAGGATATGCCTTCATTCTCTCTGTGTGCTAATCTCTCCTAGCAGCTGTTTTCAGCCCAAGATGAAATTCTCTTTGTTTGTGACTGAATAACACTTGTGTTCTGCCACAGCATCTCAAATGTGTAAATGTTAGGGTAAAGTGGTTCTACCCACAGTTCCCTTTTAGTGATGCTTCTTTTCAGATAAAATCTGGGCTTTGTGGAGGTTCTGGGGACTCTAAATGTTGAGAAACTGCAAGAAAAATAAGGGAAGATAATTGTCTAAATTAAGTCAAAACTAGAAATACTGGAAAGAAACTTCATCACTTAGATGTAGTTGTAGCAATAAGTGCAGTAAAATGCATCTTTTTGGATGAAGTGTTGAAAAGCAGCTAAAAGGTAGAATATATGTGTACAGACTGATTTATTTATTTTTTACTGACTTTTAAAGGAGAGAGCTCTTGGTAATTTCCATTCCTGCTGTTTTTTTTTTTCTCTACAGGACCTACTGCAGCTCTGTGATTGCTGATACATGCTCGACTGCTTTAAGGAGTCCTGGCAAGATGGCATCTTCCAGACTTGCCATCCTTATAGCATTGGCATTTTCCTCTTTGTCCTTTGTTCTTTCACATTCAAACAGGGCAATGTGGTTTCAGGATTTCTTTCCACCTAATGTCTGCCCTATAAATGTCGAAGCAAACACTTTTTATGGCATCATGTTTGATGCAGGAAGCACTGGAACACGTATTCATATTTACACCTTTGTGCAGAAGAGCCCAGGTAAGACCCCATGTCAGTCTGTGCACTTGGAGTATGTTGACTTAGGTTCCAACTTTTCAAAACAGTTTTGAGTTTTTTTTCCCAACACAGCATTTGGGGACAGCTGAAGATTTCCGCAGTTTGTCCTTCAAGTGGTCCTTCTGCAGATATTTGTTGTCCTTTTGTGGCAGTGTTTTGCTGTGTAAATATCTTTTTTGTAGGTCTTTCAAAACTCAGAGGTTTAATTCTGGATATACTGGAGAGTTCTGAATTTTCGAACATTTTCATCTATGCAGCGTTTAAAGGAATATTTCATTGAGATGAAAATATGCTTATACTGTTTTTGTCAAATTGCATGTTACCTTAAATTATATCAAGATATATTTAAATTCTGCATATGTTTATGTCACATTTTGTAGCAAATAAAAATCAGTAAATTAAAGAGTTATAAGTTCTGAAGGTCTGAGCCATTTCCAGGAGAACTCCTGTGTTCAGGTGCACCACATTCCAGTATGTCTGTTGCTGACATGGTGCAGAGGTGCCCAAGCAGGCTGCACATGCAACAGGATTCAGACAGGTGAATTAGCTTGGGTACAGTGAGCCAGCACAGTTGCAGTGGTTGAAGGCTGGGACTAAGCTAATAAGCCCTTCAGGGCCATGCATAATACCTCTGTGTCTTCACATGATTTCATCCATAGTTTGGAAGGACTGGTGCAACATCCAAGTCTGATGGACTCAGT